TCTCCCGGAGCAAGCCACACAGACAGGCGTGATTATGAGCCCAGCCAGCTGAGCCTGGGGGGGGATTGTGATGGGAAGACCCTGTCGAGGTGCTTGTCTCTGCCCTGCTGCTTTCTCTCTTTCCATCTCTCGCTCTTCATTCCCTTCTCTCTCATAGAAGTAAGCAAATCAGCTTAAAAAAACAAAACAGGGGGGGAAAAAGTAACCAGAAAGTAGCTCCATTTAGAGCAAGGTTTTTGTTTTGCTTCCCAAGAAGCAATCCTCTTAGATCTTAGAAGACCAGTGCCCCTCTGCACCATTCCCACTGGTCAGACTTCCCCGCGTTCTGCTTGGTTCGGGTCCCCTGAGCATGGCTGGCGTTACGATTAACCTGTCATTTACTCCTCTTCTAGGCATCCGAGACAGAGTGTCCGACTGGGATGAGTTTCTGCGGCAGACCCTGGTGGGAGCTTGCAGTCCTCCCGTTCCGCTGCTAGAGGGCGTGAGTATTCCTGCATGCCGAATCCCTGTGGGAAACCGGCTCATTTTTCCAGGAATTTTAACCTTGGTTGTGAATTTACCACGCTGAAGCAAGTAGGCGTTACTGGAGACATCAGCGTAGGTGTTGGGAACTTTAACATTGCCCTTGGAGGTTGCAAGCTGGTGGTTTGCTTAGTACCTAAATATTTTCTGGTTAAGTTGCTAACACATTAAAAACCCAGCTTTCTAGATTCCTTTACACAGTTGGAAAACTGGGGCCTTTCATTCTGGAACTGAGCAGGGGTTAATTCCACTTCAGGGTGGGCATTTGTAACTCCCACACCAGGTGACTCAAGACCCCTTTTCTCTCTCTTTTTTTTTCCTTTGTACAAGTTTGCTATAGGGTACGTTTGCTTGCCAGAGATAGAGAGAAAGTGAGAAATCACCCCCCAGGAGAAGTGGTCACACCGTAGTCCCTTCTCCTCCATTCTCTTCCTGGGCACAGATGCCCAGTGTACCCTTCAAGCTGCTGGGCCCAGGACTCAAACTGAACTGCAGTTGGCCATGTGGGATCCAGCCGCCCCAGCCTCCATGCCACCTGCTGTCCCTGAGACCTCTTCTCTTTGGTTCAGAAGCAGCTGGACCTGTCTGCTTTCAGCAGTCCTTTTTCGTTGGTGTAGCTTTTGAGCTGGTTAGTGACTAGAGATTCCTTGACTTCGTGAAAAGCAATGTATTGGTTATGACGTTTCTCAGTTACATCCGGTCACTTTCCATCACAGCAGTAACATTCTTTGTGGCACATGTGAAACGCAATGTGGGAGATTCCAATTTCTCTCGCCCTTGCCAATTCTTGTCCTCTTTTTTGGTTATAGTTATCTTAGTGGGGATGTAGTGGTGTCTCATTTTGATTTACGTTTCTGTAAGGCTAGTGATGTTCAGCATCTTTTTGTGTGTTTATCAGCCATGCATATATCTTTTTGGAAAGATGCCTTTGCTCGTGTTTAAATCAGGTTATTATCTTTTCATTATTGATTTGCAATAATTCCTTATGCATTCTGGATGACCTGATCAGATATATGATTGGCTATTATTTTCTCTGAGTCTGTGGGCTTTCTATTATTTGCAGCATAGAAATGTTTAATTTTTATGTAGTCTAATTTATCTGTGTTTGCTGTTGTGGCTTATGATTTGGGGTCATAGCTAAGGAAGGCTTTGCTTAACTCAAGGTCAAGAAGATTTACTCCTATAAATTTTATAGTTTTAGATCTTTCATTTTATACCATGATTCATTCATGTCTCCTTTTAAATTCTTTTCTTTTTTTTTTTTTTTAGAGAGGTTTTTGCTATAGGGTGCGTGTGCTCACCAGAAAGACAGAGACAGAAAGGGAGAAATCACACCCCCCCCCCCCAGGAAGATGGCCCCACTGCAGTCCCTTCTCCTCCATTCTCCTCTCGGGATCTTGGGCACGCACACACGTGCCCAGCATGAGTTTAAGCCACTGGGTCTGCGACTCGAATCACAGTCGACTACGTGGGAGTCCAGTGACACAGCCATTACGCAAACTGCTGGTCCCTCCTTGTAAATTCTTGATTGGTGAATATTTCAAGTATTACAAGCTTTTCTTTGTTTTCTTATACTCTGACTCAGTTTATTATGCTTGGCCAGCGCCTGGCACGTACTAAACAGTGATATTTGAATGAATGAGATAATGAGCAAATAAACTGATACGAGATTCTGTCTGTACTGACATGATTCTGCCACCCGAATTTTTACCCGTGGGTGTGTCTCTTTAACGTTCATGCGTTCCTTTTCGTATCTGGAAATAAATGTCAGTGTCCCAGAGAAGTCCCGACTAGGAAAAAAAATTTGCCGTTGAGTGTTAAGAAATGGATAATGATGACTTTGGAATGAGCACTTCCTTTATACTCTTTTCATAATTTTTACTATATACCTGGATAGTAAGAGTCAAGCTTTTCCTTTCCATCATTGAAATGAAAAGCTCTTACTGTGTTCATTAGAACATTGTTACCAAATGAGTAAAAAAATCAAAAACAATTAAAATGCCATCAATAGGTAAGTGGACCCATTATTGCCCATGTACAATACAGAATATCATAAGACAGTTTAAAAGGTGAGAAAGACCTAGATGTGCTATAACAGATACGTATAATGTGTAAAGTGATGAGCAAGTTGAAAAAGAGTATACAGTGCTCGTATTTTTCAAAAAACGGTAGAGACAGACAGCCTGGCAGAGGTGGGTGTTGCCTTGCGTGTAGGAAGAGTGTATGCAGGGGCCAGCAGGTGGCGTGCTGGTTGAGGCTCCAGATGGACTCTCCCATATTCCACTACGTTTGGAGTCCCAAACCTGGCGGCTTGTTTTCTCTCTCTGGTGAGCATAGGTGTCCTATAGCAAATTTAAATAAATGAAATGATACTTAAAAAAAAAATGTATGACAAAATGATCATGTGGTTTTGGAACCAGCAGTTAGCGTAATGGCTATGTCGCTGGACTCCCACGTAGTCGACCACGGTTCGCGTCCCGGACCCGGTGGCTTAAAACTCACGCCGGGCGCGTGTGCGTGCGTGCCCAAGATCCCGAGAGGAGAATGGAGGAGAAGGGATTGCGGCATGACCATCCCCCCTGGGGGGTGATTTCTCGCTTTCTGTCTCTAATGTCTCTCTCTGTCTGTCTGGCGAGCGCACGCGCCCTATAGTGAAAATCTCTCAAAAAAAAAAAAATGATCATGTGGTTTTTATCCCTTAGTGGGGGGATTATAGGGGACTTGAACTTACATAATGTTTGACTTTTTCTTTTTCTTTAGTAATGATTATTTTTATTTTTTTGCCATAGGGTACATGCATTTGCCAGAGAGAGAAAGACAAAGAGAGGGGCAAGATTTGCCAGAGCGTGCGCACACGCGTGCATGCACACACACACACACACACACAGCATGATTTTCAAGCTGCTAGGTCTAGGACTTGAACTACGGTCAGCCACATGGAAGTCCAGCACCTTAACTACCATGCCATTTGCTTTATCTCATATTTGCTTTATTTATTTATTTTTAAAGAATTATTCATTTATTTTAGTTTATTCATCATTTATCATATTTTGAGTAGAGAGAGACACATGTAGTTGACCACAGAACCAGCCCGGTTTTTTAGGCACCTCTCCTTTCAAAGGAACACCTTCACATCGTGTAGAAATCATACTGTAACATGCTTGTATGTAGATAATTCAGTGCCGCTAGCTTTTAAATGGGTAAAAAATATGAAGGCTAATTTGAGGTCCTTTAGAATATGACCTTTTTTTGCCTATAGGGATGTGTGCTTGCTTAAGACAGACAGAGACGGCAAGGGAAAGTGAGAAAGCATCCCCTCCAGGGACAGGATGGATGGTCATCTGCAACCCCTTCTCCTCCTTTCTCTTCTCAGGATCTTGAGCATGCACGCACATGGGCCCCCTGTGTTTTTCAAACTTCCAGGTCTGGGGCTCAGATCATGCAGTCAGTCCTGGGGAAGGCAGCTGCCTTTACCACCATGCCATTTACTAGACCTAGAATTTTACTTTCTAGAGATAATTCATGAACTTTTCTTACTTAGTCATCTCGGGGTATTTTGTTTGTTTGTTTGTTTGGAGCGGTTCTTGCTATAGGGTACGTACACTCACTGGAGAGACAGAGAGAAACAGAGAGACAGAAAGTGAGAAATCACCCTGTGGAGGGGATGGACACGCCACAGTCCCTACTCCATTCTCCTCTCAGGATTTTGGGCATACACACACACACACACACACACACACACACACACACACACAGTGTATTTAAACTTCTGGGTCCGGGACTCCAACCCACAGTTGACCATGTGGGAGTCCAGTGACATAACCGTTACGCCATCTGCTAATCCCACCATCTCACTTTTTTAACCTATAGCTCCGCAATGGAAGGAATCCTTTAGATCTCATTGCTCCAGGATCTCGGCTCGAATGTCAAGCGTTCCAGGACTCTCTAAGTGCTTGGATCGTGACTGTCGTGGAAAACATTGGCGGAAGGCTGAAGCTTCGTTACGAAGGCCTGGGAAGTTCTGACGGCTTCGAACATTGGCTCTATTACCTGGATCCCTTTCTTCATCACGTGGGTTGGGCCACTCAGCAGGGCTATGAGCTTCAGCCCCCATTAGGTGAACAGTAATAGAACATTTTTCTTTTAACTACCTCATTTTTGTCATATTATGTTGTTACCAGTGTCTATGAGACTAAAATCGCATTATTTTCCATGTTAGGAAAGCTTTTGTTAGTCAATGTCATAGGGATACTGCAAAGGAAAAAGTACATGGAGTTGTTAAAAATGCCTATTTTTCTTTCAGTTTGGTTGCTTTTATAATTAGCTATACATATTGATATATCTCATGGATTTCGGCCCCAACCTATACTAGCCTTTTACTAAAGTAAAGGAAAAAGTTCTCTAGGTAGCATTCAGATTAGACAGCAAATCGGGTTTACAGCAAATTGCTGATTAAAAGAAATTCCAGTGACATTAAAATGGGAGGCATCGTTTAACCAGTTTGTGTGCTATGTGTGCCCCAGTCTGGGTGTGGTTTTACACTGTGGCCCACAGCGATCCTTATGAGCTTACTGTAGGGTGGTCTCACCAAACGCAGCCGTCCAGGCCCTGAGCAGGCGGAGTGTGAGTTGCCGTGCACTCACTGAGTGGAGGTGGGAGTAAGCGGGCTCGAACCTGTTCCTGTTCCCAGTGGGGAATGACTTCATATGTTATGGAGATGTTTTGAGAACAGTTAAAAAGCATATAGGGTTTTTCATCAGCTAAAGAATGCTGTCTTGTTTCACTGAAGCCATCAGACATTTGAAAAATGAACCTGAGTGGCAGGAGATTTTGGCCAAAGTGAAAGAGGAGGAGGAAGAGCCATTACCATCTGACTTATTTAAGGTAAAGACAGGATCGTCGGGAGATGGTGGTTTCTCTTTCTGTTTGGTCGGGGGAGGTGAGAAGTGCAGACTGACTCCTGGAGTAGGGGAGAGTGCTAGGGGAGAGGGCCGTCAAGGCTGGCTCTCCTCTCCTCCCACAGTTGTCTGCGTTTTCTCCACAGATTCTCTTAAAGTAGTTTGAATCTTTGCTTTTTCTTTCTAAACAGAGATTTTTGCTATAGGGTGAGTGCGCCCACCAGGGAGACAGAAAGCGAGAAATCGCCCCTTAGAGGGATGGCCATGCCGCAGTCCCTTCTCCATTCTCCTTTCAGGATTCTGAGCACATGTGCCCAGCATGAGATTTAAGCCACTGGGTCTGGGACTTGAACTGCGGTCAACTATGTGGGAGTCCAGTGACCTAACCATTATGCCATCTGCTGGCCCCGGTTTGAATCTTTTCTTTTTTACTACATACCCTTAACTATTGGGAGAAGTCATTGTGTGTTTTTCCATGTAAAAATACATCATGGCTTTTCTGACAACCCGGTATTACAAGACCGTTTTTGTCGCTAGATCAACCCTCTGTTCTGAATGTAGAGTGGGAGAACTTTCTAGGTTGTTTTCCACCTGCATGGTTATTTTTCAGGAAAGAAAATAATAAAGATTTGCCAGAAGCTGTACAGTTTCATAATTTTTACTAATTAGAGTAGTATTAATGAGAGTATAATATAGTAAATGTGAGTGTGAAACTAATAGAAAAATTCTACATTTTCATCCCTTTCTGGTGTTTGCATTTCAGGACAAGCAAGTTATTGGCATCCATACATTTTCTGTAAATATGAAGTTGGAAGCTGTGGACCCCTGGTCTCCTTTTGGGATCGCTCCTGCTACGGTTGTTAAGGTAACGGGGCCAAGTCCCTTGGTGACCAGCTTAGGAGATGGCCTGTTGTGATCTCCGGGCTGTACTGACCCTTCCTGTGGTCCCTCCTGAGCTGTAGGCTGGAACTGCTGCTGTGCGCTCCTGGGGGGTGTAGTTCCCAGGGCCCCATCCTGAGGGCTTGGTGCTCTTGCCCACCGAAGCAGACTAGGGCTGGGCATGGGGGTGCGGGGGCAGGCCTGGCTGCATTTATCTAAAAGAGATTTTACTTTAGCTGCTGATAAGCCATGGAACCTGTAAAGTGTGGAGTCAGGCCACGTCATCGATGCTAACTGGCCACAGGACTTGGGGTCAGGAGATCTGGGGGGGAGCAGGCAGTTTGTGTCACAACATCTGGCAGTGGGTGGCTCCAGTTCCGTGTTTCAGGTTCCGACTTTAATCTTTGGGAAGACAGACACAAGAGTAAGTTTCTCATGAGGAGCAGTCCCAAGAACGGAACAGGCTGTCAAGGTCCAGTGTTAGTACAGCTGAAGCGAAGGGAGAGGATTTCAGGTTGGGGCTAGGGCAGGAGCCTGTCGTTTACTGAAAGCCGGGTGTGGCTAGAGGAAGAGTAGCTGGATGCTGCATTGTCTGGCCCATTGAGATTTCTTTCTTCCTTTTTTTTTCTCTCTCCTTCCCTCCTTCCTCCCTCCCTTTCTTTTTTTGCCAGAGGTCATGTGTGTTTACCAGAGACAGAGAAAGCACATCCCATACCCCCAAGTGCGCATGGTCACAGCATAGTCCCCTTCCCTTCATTGTTCCATTCTGTCAGAATTTGGGGCATGCAAAACTTTTTTGAGATTTTTTTGCTACAGAGCATGTGCACTTGCTGGAGAGACAGAGAGAGAGAAAGCAAGAAATGACCCCTGGGGGGATGGCCACGCTGCAATCCCTTCTCCTCTATTCTCCTCTCGGGATTTTGGGCACACACGCACACGTGCTGGCCTGAGTTTCAAGCCCCTGCATCCAGGACTCAAAATGTAGTCAACCACATGGGAGTCCAGTGCCTTAACCACTCTGCCACCTGCTGGCCCCAAGCATGTAATTTTTTTTTTTTTTTAAGAGAGATTTTTCTACAGGGCACATGTACTCGCCAGAGACCGAAAGAAACAAAGAGACAGAAAGCGAGAAATCACCCCCTCGGGGGATGGCCACACTGCAGTCTCTTCTCCTCTTGGGATTTTGGGCATGCACACACATGCACCTGGTATGAGTGTTAAGCTGCCGGGTCTGAGACTCAAACCATAATAGATTACATGGGAGTTCAGTGACGTAACCATTATGCTATCTGCTGGTCCTATGCATTCAAAATTTTTAAGCCTTCAGGTCTAAGATTCGAACCACGGTCAGCCATATGGGATCCAGTTTCCAAAGCATAGCTCTTAACCACTGTCCAGTGGCAGGCCCTGACTTGTTCAGATTTATTTTCCCTGCTTTGAAAGATTATTCTCAGAGCAAGGAGGGATTGTGAAGTGGCAAGTGGGGTCCTGTCCTATCTAGGGGTCTGAAGGGATTTGGGCTGATAAGCCAGAGGAGATTGATAACATTTTTTTGGCCAGGGCCCTAAACACCAATGTGCCATGCAGTTGACTCCTCACTAAGCTGGAACTAAACTTTATTCGGAGCTTGCTACTTGGATTCAGGTTCTGCCTCATCCTGGCTGTGTAACCCGAGGGAAGTTATTTAAGCTCTCTTTAAACTCATTTTCCTTTGTCTGCAAAAATAATGGCACTTACCTCATTAGATTGTTGAGAAGATTAAAATGGAATTCATTCATGGAAAGCACTTAATTAAACAATGCCTAATACAGAGCTAACATTTATTGCATGTTTAGAATTGTTTTCCTATGTGTGAGAAAGATAGAGACCCTCCCAACCACGTCCTCATGTTATGGTCCCCCCTGTCCCGCCCCAGCCAGCACCACGGCCGCGCACACGTGTCCAGCACGAGACAGGTACTTCCGAGAGGATCTCTCCATTGTGAGCCTTATGCTTTGGCTGGGCTGGAACTGAACGCGGGCCTCCCAGGCAGCCCCAGCGGCAGGGCAGCGGTGTCCTCCCGCCTGTGCCATTGTGGCTGGCCTGAGTGTTTATTAGCGTTACTATCTAGGGCGACTTTGAACTTTCGGGACCTGTTTGGCTGTGCCAGGGGAAAACGTAGACAACTGTATATCCCATACATTACATACACGCGTGTACAGCATCTGTCTCTTTCATCTGGTAATGGCATTTATAGGTTTTGGACGAGAAGTATTTTCTGGTGGAGATGGACGACCTGCGGCCGGAGGGCCACGCGCCGCGATCCTTCGTGTGCCACGCCGACAGCCCTGGCATCTTCCCCGTGCAGTGGAGCCTGAAGAACGGTGTCCACATCAGCCCTCCTCCGGGTGTGTACTCACGGGGCCTTTTCCTCGGAACGAAACGCGGCAGGCAGCTCTGCCTGGCTCTCTGGGTAAAGCCCAGCCTCCCTTTCTGAGTGGTGGCAGCTGGAACGCTGGTAGGATGTACTGTCTGTGTTAACGAGGGTCGTAAACTTTTTATGTTCGCCCTCCGTTTAGCTTTCACTCACCCAGCAAACATTTATGGAACCTTTGCCAAACGCCAGGCACTGGGCTTGTCCCTGGGAGACAAAAGTGGATGTGATCCTATCACTTCAGAGCCACGTAAGGGAAAACACGAGCAGCACTTCCCCGGTGGTTTTCTCCGGAGGGCTAGTGCGTGTTTGGAGGGGAGGGTGTGGGACACGTACAGGAGGGAGGTCTTGCTTCGCAGGAAGGCTCTGGACACCCCCATGTTCTTTTTTATGCCGTATGTGCGTTTCTTTCTTTCATAAGAGAAGTTGAGAGACACACATACACAGGCAGGCCCCCTAGCAGGGTCTTCATGCCACAGTCCCCCTCAGGCGGACGTCCAGGATCACAGGCACGCATTACACGCATGTACAGGGACGCCTGAGCACATGGACCTGGGGCCACCACTGCCACCACTGGCCTCCAAGGTTCTTCTGCTTTCCATCTTCGTGTGGAAAGGAAAAAACAGTTGTTAAAGATGTTGGAACTTTCAGTGTTGTTTCAGGCCGTTGTAAATAAAAGGGAACTAGCAGATTATGTCATTGAAAATGGCAGAAAACATACCGTTAGGAATCGCATGGGGCCGGGAAGAGAGCAGGGTGTCAGTCTTGGGGCGAGGGTGCCTGTTGGGGCTGTTTGGAGGGCAGAGTCCTGGGCAGCCAGGTCCGTGCCGTGGGTGCTGACTGTGGAGGACCAGCTCAGGCACGGTGGGTTCGGGCCCCATCAGCTTCTTGCTGTTGGAGGTGCTGTGTCCAGGCATCGGGTGGGAGGTGCTCCCATGGAGGGTCTGGGCAGATGGAAGAGGGGAGGTGAGCTCACCCTCGTTTCTGAAATGAACTCACGGTTCAGGTTATAAGAGCGTTGAGATTCGTCAGTACACGAATCTGGAGACAACTCCGAGCCGTGGCGGAAGTAGCTACTACTTTTGAAGGAAACGGCTTTATCGAAGAAGAAGGTCTTTGCTGCTTAAATATTGGGTCTTCTGAAAAGTCCTGAGTGTTTTCTGTGCAGAAACGCCTTGTGAATTTTCTGATGACCCAGTAGTTCTATTTTCTGTCTCTTCTTCAGACCCCGAATCCTAACAGAATTGATAGCAAGACTGGATTTCTGTGCCCAGCTCAAATCCAGTCCTAATGGTTTGGTTAATTGTCAGCAATTTAAGCATGTAAAATGTTGCTCAAGACAAATGCCTTGTTTGAAACTTTAAAGCCACAAAGTTTATCCAGAGAGTTTGAATGTGTCACTTTAGTTAGGCCAGAGTTGCTCTTTTATAAAATGGACAATGCTTTGGATTGGTGGCCCGTTCCTCCCTTCGTCTAAAATGGCCCAAGTCCTCAGTAACGAGCAGCCTGGGGAGTGGCGGGTGGGCCTGTGGCTGTGGCCGAGGGGAAGCCAGGCGGGCAAGTGCGGTGCGAACCCTCGTTCTCTCGTTCCCCAGGCTATCCGAGCCAGGACTTCGACTGGGCCGACTACCTCAAGCAGTGTGGTGCTGAAGCTGCTCCCCAGAGGTGCTTTCCTCCGGTGAGAGGCCTCCCTGACCCCCTAGTCCTCCCTGCAGGCTGCGTAACTGCGGTGAGCCCTGGCCTTTCCTGATTGAATTAGTCATCTCCCTCCACTCAGATAAGTCCTTTGTTGATAGTAATAAAATGGTCTGAAGAAAAGTACGTTTACTGGGGCCCGCAGATGGAGTAGTGGTTACATTGCTGGACTCTCACATGATGAACTGTGGTTCGAGTCCCAGACCCAGTGGCTTGAAAATCACGCCGGGCGCATGTACGTGCGTGCCCAAGATCCTAGGAGAAGGGAGAAAGGATTGAAGCCTAGCCATCCCCTCAGGGAGTGATTTCTCACTTTCCCTTTTGCTGTCTCTGTCTCTCTCTCTCCTGTGAGTGCACATGCCCTATGGCAAACACCTCTAAAAAAAAAAAAGAAAAATACATTTACTGTAGAAGTTAGTTAACTCACTAATTTAATTAACTTTATATGTTTATCAGTTTCATTTTTTTATTCTAAGCTGAAATCACTGAATTTGAAATTTTATATCGTATTTTTTAAAGAATTCTTTTTATTTTAAACTTGATATTATTTATTTATTTACATATTTATTTATGTAAATTTGACCAGACAGGGACAGAGTGAAAGAGACAGAGAAAGTGAGAAAGCAAACCACCAGGTCCGGGACTCAAACCACAGTTAGCCATGTGGGAGTCCAGTGCCCTCGACCACCATGCCATCTGCCAGCCCCTTGTTTCATAACTTTTTAAATTTCTTTTTTCATTCGAGAGAGAGAGAGAGGCAGGCAGGCAGGCAGGCAGGGAGCCCAGGCAGGGTCTTGTCATGCCATGAGTCACCCCAGCCTCCTAGCCAGGATCGCAGGGGTGCCGAGTGCACTCAGGTTGAGCAGGGATCCGAACGTGGGCTTCTCATATGGCTTCAAAATCGTGCATTTGCACCCTACTGCCTCTGCCCACCGCAGCTGGGCCAATTTCATAATTATTTGGATGACTCAGTAATATGGGGAAATAATTTAAATATTAAGTGGAGATACATTGTCTAGCTCCAAGTGTATATGACTTAAAAAGACAAATAGTAGTTAAAGGTTTAGAAAGTAAACCAACTTGCCCTGTCCATTTCACAACTTGCTTTTCCAGAAATAACCACTTCCTATTCTTTGCATTTTAATTCTGGTGTTTATGCTTCTTCATCTCCAAAATAATACGCTGCTGGGACCAGCAGTTGGCATAGTGGCTGTGTCACTGGATTCCCATGTCGTTGACCGCAGTTCGAGTCCCAGACCCGGTGGCTTAAACTCACGCCGGGTGTGTGCGTGCGTGCCCAAGATCCCGAGAGGAGAATGGAGGAGAAGAGACTGCAGTGTGGCCTTCCCCACCTTGGGGGGTGGTTTCTCGCTTTCTGTCTCTGTCTTCCTGGTGAGCACTTGTGCCCTATAGCAAAAACCTCTAAACAACCAAACAAAATAATACGCTGCTGTCTTTTGAGTTATTAAAATTTTTAGAGATGTCGGTTTTTATGTTACAGTAAACGAGCAGCCAGCTATTTTATGCCGCTGTTTCTTCCTTATTTTACCGACCTCTTCATCCTGTAGTGTTGTATTGAATTTCCGATTAAATCTAAATGGAGTTTTTATATTATAATATGCCTTGAAATATTACTCATAGCTGAGCACTGTCGTATTTTATGGCTGTTTCTTTTTGTATGTCTTCAAGTTAATAATTATCTTGGTTTTCTTTTTTCTTCTAATTTGTTTAAGAATTCCTTATTTTTTGTACTTTCATTATTTTTAATTTGCTATAGGGCATGTGTGCTCATGAGAGAGAAAGGGAGAAAGCAAGCCGCCCGGTCCAGGATTCGAACTGCATTTGGAGAGTCCAGCGCCCTAACCACCGCTCCACCTGCTGGCCCTAGCCTTGGTTTTCATTTGCTTCATTTTCTTTGTACCTGCTGCCAGTTCTTCTCGTACTTCCCAATAGTCTCTCATTACCATTGCCACAAAATCACATTAGGGTATCTGTCACTCCTAACAGTTTTCTTACAGACCTCTCTTTTTTGGGGGGGGGGGGGGGGGGGGGGGTGGGACAGATTTTTTTTTTTCTATATGGTATGTGCTCTCACCAGAGAGACAGTGAGATAGAAAACGAGAAATCATCCCCCGGGGGGATGGCCATGCCACAATCCCTTCTCTTCCATTCTCTCCGGATTTTGGGCATCCACATACACACGCCCAGCATGAGTTTGTTAGCCGCTAGGTCCAGGACTTGAGCTATAGTCGACTGCGTGGGAGTCCAGTGACATAACGCTTCTGCCATCTGCTGGTCCTGAGACAGCAGATTGCCAATCCCTCTCAGCAGTTTCCACGATCTCTCCTGGGAAGGGTTGTTCTCTGGGCTTGCCACACAGTTCTAACCGTGACACTACCCTTCACGGTCACCCAAGGCATGCCTCCCTGGGGCCCCGTGTCTGGGGCCCTGCCGCCTGCGCCGCATGGCCTTTTCCTTCTTGGTCCGCTCCTTTGTTTTGGTGGAGCCTGTCTCTCAGTAGCTTCTTGGAACAGGGATCGAGGGTCATAAATTGTTACAGACATTGTATTCTATCAAGTTGATCTGTAGTTCAGCTCATTATAGAATTTTAGGCTGGAAGTTATTTTACTTCAGAATTTTGAAAACATCGCTCAGGTCTTTCCTAACCGTTAGTGTTACTGTCGGCAGGTTGAAAGCCATTCGTGTTTTTCTTGATCTTTTGTGGAGAATCGGCTTTTCCCCAGCCCCAGAAGGTTATAGAATCTCCCCGTCATCATCTCTCACGTGGAGAAGCCTTGATGTGGGTCCGCCTTCATTCATGTGCTGGGTTCTCAGAGGGTGCTTTCTCTCCGAGCACTCGGGCCTTTCTGTATTGGGAAGTGTCCTCAAATCTCTCCTTTGATTTCCCCTGTCTATTTTATTTTCTCTCTTCTCTCTTTCTGGAATTTCTTTTATTTGAATGTTGGCCCTTTGAATGAAACCTCTACTTTTCTTACCCTTTTTCTCCTGTTTTCAGTGTATTGTTAGCTTTGCTTTCTGGAACAGTTTTTTTAAAACTTTATCTTTCAACTCTTCTCGATGTTTAAAATTTTTTTTTGAGAGAGATTTTTTTCTGTAGGGCACATGCACTCGCCAGACAGACAGAGAGAGACAAAGAGATAGAAAGCGAGAAATCACCCCCCAGGGAGGATGGCCACGCCACATTCCCTTCTCCTCCATTCTCCTCTTGGGACCTTGGGCACGCACGCACACGCGCCCGGCGTGAGTTTAAGCCACCGGGTCCGGGACTCGAAGCGTGGTCGACTACATGGGAGTTCAGCGACATAGCCGTGACGCTAACTGCTGGTCCCAATAATTACTATTCTTTAAAAAAAAAAGTTTGCCATGTGTGCATGCCAAAAAGCAACAGAGAAGGAGTGAAAGGGAGAAAGCCCCCCCCCCAGTGGGATGTAGTCAGGCTGCAATCCCTTTTCCATTTCTCCTTCCTGGGATTTGGGGCGTTGCAAGGATACACGTCAAGGTGCCAGGTCTGGGACTCGAACTGCATGGTAGGCCATGTGGGATCTGGCCCCCTTAACCACCACACCCCCTGCTGGCCCTAGTGTACTGTTCTTAAGAGTGTGGTAGTTTTTCTTAACGTTCAGGGACTTTTCATTAATACCCTCACCCTCCCCGCCACTGTTTGGGCAGTTTTGTGTTTTCATTCTCTTTCTGCAGGTTGCGTGTTTTGTCTGTTTTTCTCACGAGCTTTCATATCCTCAAATGTCCAATAATTTTTGGTTGCTGCTCATATTTAAGAAGGAGGGACTAAAAGGCAAAGCTGATTGGAAACTGTCACCATGTGCTTGAGGCGCATCATGCTTGTGTTTTTAAATTGCTGGTGGGTGTGCGCACTGGTCAGGGAGACAGAGACAGAGGGCGAAAGCACCCCACCCTGGGGCACGGCCCTGCTGCCATCCATCCTCCTTCATCTCTCCGTCCCCTCAGGACCCTGGGCATGTACACGTGTGTGCCCAGCATGCTTTTCAAGCCTCTGGGGCCCGGACTCGAACTGGGGTTGGCCATCTGGGATCCAGCTTCCTTAACCACTAGGCTACTGGGACGGCCCAAGGCTTGTCATCCTTGAACTTTCCTATAGGGTGGGGTATTCATTGTGGAGACCTAAATTCTTTATACGTCTCTTCTGGGGCTGTCCTGTTACCACCTGCCTGATGGTGACTGGAGGCAAGGGCTGGGCCCTCGCGCTCCACGCGCTGGCCTCTGCTTTAGGTTCCACACATGCCCTCAGCCCTTCTTTGTGTCCTCCTCGGTTTTACCTTGTCTGGAGGACACATCTCTGCAGGGGAGGGGAGGGAAAGGGAGGTCTCCTGGGGATGTGGACTGGAGGAGCCAGCGGCATCACCTAAATGCTTCTCAGATGTTCTCAACAGACCTTTCTGCCTCCTGTTGCCCAACATCTGCTTCTGCCAGTTCTCAGTCGTCTTCACTGACAGCGCACGGGCACCTTTCAAACCCCAGACCCTGTTCTAAATTGTATCTTATAAAATGACAGACGGCGTTTCCTCCCTTGTCATAGCCATCCTATTAAGTTAGGTCTTTTAAAAACGAAACAGCTCACGGCTTTAGTTTTAGTGCAGTCAGAAAGGGGAGGTAATGGTCAAATGCAGATGTTTGGTTGTCCATTTTGATGCAAAAGCTGCAAATTGTGAACGTCTTTTTAAAACTGTATCCTGGCTGCCTTTTCTGCCACACGTCCAAGCGTGCGCCAGGGCTGGCCCCTACGGCACGGCCCTTCATGGGAGAGGCGCAGCCCGCAGTGGCCGAGAGCCACTGGTACAGGGCAGAGAGCCTTAGGGACTCTATTTCATTGATCGAGACTGTTCTCAGCGTCAGCTGATCAGGAAACTGAGGCAAAAAGAGGTCACATGGCCTGAGCACGTCCTCACAGGTAGCCACGGTGCAGGAACGTCTGACTCAAAAGGCAAAACGGCCGTGAGGTCAAGAAGGACAGATATTTCCCCTTGGCTTCATTGCAAAGCAGAACACATTTACAGCTTTAAAGGGAGCCCAGGTTAGATACTACTGAAAACAAGTCTAGTTGAGCACGTGAGTTAATGCTGATGGTTAATCCAGTAAAGGATTTGACTCATTCATTTTCTAGTCCATTTCTGAGCACGAATTTAAGGAGAACATGAAGCTTGAGGCAGTGAACCCGCTTCTGCCTGAAGAAGTGTGTGTGGCCACCATCACTGCCGTGAGAGGCCCCTACCTGTGGCTCCGGCTGGAAGGTAAGTGCCCGCGCACCTGAGCCGCCCTCCCGCACCACCCTCCCCTGCGCTTCTGTTCACTCCCGTGTGGGTAGTTAAGTACGGATCTTATCTAGAGACTTCCAGGGCGTAGACTCTAAGCTGTAAGTTTATTTTCCTGTCCTTGGCTCCCAAATTTTAGGAAGCAAATGTGAACAAAAAACCTTTTCCTACAGAGTCTTGTAGTTTCTCAAAGAAATAACGTAAGTCCAATAGCATATCTTTTGGAGACCAGTGGACGGCGTAATGCTTGTGTTGCTGGGCTCCCACATGGTTGACCACAGTTTGAGTCCTGGACCTGGTGGCTTAAAACTCACACTGGGCATATGTGGCATGCCCAAAATCCCAAGAAGGGGCTGGAGGAGAAGGGATTGTGGTGTGACCATCCCACCCAGGGACGTGATTTCTCACTTTCTGTCTTTCTCTGTCTCTCTCTTTATGCACTCTATCACAAAAATCTCTCTTACAAAAAATAGCATCTCTCTTGATGAGACCAAAATATGAGTGTTAATACTTATCTTACTGAAGAGGGAGTTTTTTGGCTGTCCCAAACCAGTGCAACCCCAAAGTCAATCAAGCAGAAGTCATGTGTTATTCCAAAAGTGGCGCTCGGTGCCTGAGCCGAGGGCGTGCGCGACCACTCAGTGCCCCGGCCGTGTGTGGCCCCAGGCTGCTTTTGTACCTGCTGCCCAGCGACTCAGAGGAGCTGCCTACAGCTTCTGATTGGTAGAGCTGGCACCTAGCGCGGGACGTGCAGGACAATATTGGCTGCAAGCTTTCATGCACACCCTGCTTGAACAGCTCGCCAGACCATTTCCTGCTCCCAGAGCACCAGAACCGATGCTCCTACCAAGGAGAGCTGTCGCGTTTGCCTTTCAGTTTGCAGCAATTTTAGGAGTTGACTGCGGTATTTGTTAATTACCTGACTGCTCCCCGAGGTTGTTCCCTGGCTAAGGATCACCTTGTATATACTCAGTACCCGTTTTGGTCCTTAATACGGTTATGCATGGAGCACAGTTTTCCTTTTTCATGTTTGTCATACATGGCAAAGTATGACTTCCATGTAAAAGGTAACTTGCTCAAGAGACTTGGATCTGTCTTATTGCAACAGTAAAATGTTGTCTAGAAGGTAACTTACAAAGGTTACTTAATGGTCTAAAAAGAGTTTTCCATTTCTCTTTTTTAAATCCGTACAGGTTCTAAGAAGCCTGTACCTGAATGTATTGTGAGTGTGGACTCCATGAATATCTTCCCTTTGGGCTGGTGTGAAACCAACGGCCACCCACTCAGCGCCCCTCGCCGAGCACGAGGTATCTGTCTCTGTGTCAGAGGACTGATTGATAAATAATCGGTTACGTCGCAGCTACCAGTCAGGAAGAATCTAGACATTTCAGAGAAAATCAAAATGGCTTTGTGGTTATCTAATCCTACAGAGGAAATTATTTACCCCAACATACATTTGTTACCTTACTTTTTCGGTGGGCCAGGGGTCTGGGCACGATTTCGGTGTGTCCTTTGGCTCTGGGTCTCTCACAGGCTGCGGTCACGGGATCAGCCAGAGCCATAGTCATCTCAAGGCCTAACTGGGGAGGATCTCCTGAGAACAAAGGGGTCTCAGGGATCAAGTTTACACAGACGATTATTGGCACGTGTCTTGGTCCACTCTGGCTGCTGTAACAAAATAGTATAAACTGGGTAGTTTGTAAATAACAGGCATTTATTTCTCATGGTTCTGGAAGTTGGGAAGCCCAAGATCAAGGTACGGCGGATTCAGCGTCTGGTGAGGTCCCGTTTCCTGGTGCATAGGTGGTGCCTCTCAGCAGCGTCCTCACGTGGTAGAACAGACTAACTCGCTGGGGTCTTTTTAGTAAGGGCCTCATCGGAGTCATGAGGGCTCTGCTCTCATGACCCGATCACCTTCGAGAGGCCCCGCCTCCTACTACCAGCCCACCGATGATTAGGCTCCAGGCTGAATTCTGTGGCACACGAACATTCTGACCATAGCAGCA